TTATAGTAGACATATCTGCTATGATATGAAACTATTGTAGCATACAGAGATGAGGCCTTCATAGCTCACCACGGTACCTTTGAACCTCTTCCCTTATACAGTTAAATAAGAATATATGTGTTTTCCAAAGTGAGAATATTAAAGAGGCATCTAATATCTATGAGAACCGCATGAATAATTTTTAAAGCATACTCTGACAATTAGCAACGGCTGTTTGTGTTAACTTGATATATAATTCACATATTCCAAATTAATGTATATGCAATTTGTTTAACAACAAAGATTCACAGCGGAGCAGGGGATAGAAAGTTAAGAGAGTATCTGTAAACTTGAGCCAGAACAAGGAATCGTGGGCTATAAGAAGGCCCCTCACAAGGTGGTGTCTCTCTGTGACAAACAGCAGAGGTTGGAATGAGCGTGGTATATGCGGGCTCCTTTCTTTAACTCTGTTAACCAGACACTTCTCAAGACATTTATCTCCACTCATCCTTATCCACTTTCTTGCAACACACTAATGCCCAGGGCACGCCGAATCCTGGAGCCAGCTTACTTCTTGTGTGCCATACATTGCCGTTCCCACTAGTTGACCTATTCGTTTAAAGAGAGTCCTTTAGGTTACCCTCAGAAGTGTGTTTATGCCATTTGGGCTTGTCATAACTCCAGAGCTTAATGGGATTAAATGGGATTAAACATTAAGTAAACCAATGCACTACAAATGTGAAAATAAATATTGTTCTATGAAATCTTAAGTAGAAAGAGGCCATGTGACATTTTGATACAATTGCTATCAAATTGGGTAGGTTTTTATTAGATTGGGTAATTTTAAAATTTGGGGTATGGGATGGTGGCAGAATCATTAAAATTTAGAAATCTGCACTTATGCAAGAGCTTTAAATTTTTTGTAGACATGGACTTACATGATAATAGAATTTATGATGACCTTTTTGAAGCCAACACGTTACAAGTATCTTTATTCTTTGCTCTACTTTAAACAGTCAAACATGAAAAATACAACTATACTATAATTGCTAACAATGACTGAGCACTTAAGCACAAGGGGGCTTCAAGTTTGTGAAAAAATTCTTTTATCACTTAATTCCATTCTTTCATGAACTTTTTGAAGCCCTCTCATATATTCTAGGAATCAGTCTAAGTATTTCACATATATCAAACTTGTTTACTAATTAATCAGAGTTAGTACTATATCATTCCCATTTTACAGATGATGCAAACCGAGGCACAAAGAGGTTAATTTAGCCAAGTTTATATTCCTCATAATACAATCAAATTAACTTGCTCTTCACTACTATGTTGTACTGATGCAATGGAGATACAGTTTCTACTTGAAAGAAGACATGAAACTCCTGTCAGTGGGCTCAGAAGAGCTTTGGATCTTCATCAGAAGATTAGCAAATAAATGCTCAGCTTTAAGTTTTAGCTTTTTGGTTTTTTTAATTAAAAATATGTAGGCTTTAAAAGAAAATTATTTCCATGATTTAACTAATCTTTCACCTTAATTAAATACCAGTCCAGGCACAAGTGCTAGAAGTCTGCTATTGTCAAAAGAAAAGGGCAAGAAATGGTGGCCTTAAGTACCAGATTGGGGGATTGGGATCTGCCTAACTCTAGAATACGAAATAAGTATAGATACTCAAATAGGAGTGTGGCATGATTTAGTTGCTGTTTTAAAGAAGTAAACTGGCAGTGAGACTTGGGTTAATTTTAATGGAATGGAGATTTTAAAAAACCAGATGAATGGAATGGGAGTTATTGAATATATCAATGACTATTAAACGTGAACAGTAGCTGGATTAACATTCAGTTTAAAATTGTGCTGACCTAATCATATAGTCTCTAAGACCATATTCATTTCTTTTATTTATCCATTCCAACATGCACTGAGCACCTACTGTGCACTCGTGAGACAGTGGTGAAGAAAACTCACCCATAATCTCAACTTTCAGAGCTTATAGTCCAATTGGAGAAATAGAATTTAAACAAGTAAGCACAAAGATAATGAATTAGTATTGCAATATTCCAGCCAAGATATACTATAAAAACATATAATGGCTTTAACCTTGTTTTATTTATTTGGTTTTGTCATTTTTGTCTTATTTTTGGAGGAGATCAGGTGTTCCAACACAGGATGATACAAGAGGATCTTAAGTAATACTTATATAGTTTTTAATATGTCTTCCACCATAACTCAGTAAAATAAAGTGATGTGATGTTCAGTTGTTATGTTAGGCCGGATTCTCTAGAGAAGCAAAACCAGGGATACACACACACACACACACACACACACACACACCACTGCAGTGGGCAATTCTGACTCACAGGGGCCTTATCAGTCAGGAGAGTTGAACTGCCCCTGTGGGTCTCCAAGACTAACTCTTTACAGGAGAAAGCCTTCTCTTTCTCCCTCAAAGCAGCTGCTGTCTTCAAACTGCTAACCTTGAAGTTAGCAGCCCACTATGCTACCGGGGAGTGAGTGAGTGTGTGTGTGTGTGTGTGTGTGTGTGTGTGTAAAGAGATATATTTTATCAAGAAAATGACTCACACAGTTGCAGAAGCAGGAACATCCAGTCTGAGGTCTATGATTAAAATGTTAAGCTGTATGCTACTGACTCATGTAACTTTGGGGGCTGATGAACCCACGATCTGCAGGAAGACCACAGACTGATAGCAGGTGGCAGCGGTGGATGAATCCAAGTTCAGCAGGTCAGGATTATGATGAAGAGGCCAATGAATCCAAGATTGGAAGGTCAGGGTTGGCAGGCAATAGGGCAGGCCATTGGCTCAAGTTCAAGAAACGTGTGATCAATGAGACAGATGCAGGATCCAGACACAGAAAAAAGCAAGCAAGCTTTTCCACAGCACCTGTCTATGGAAAGCGGACCACACCCCTGAGGAACTTTCAATTACATCCTGGCTGTGATGGCTTAAATAAAGAGGTTGCATTGCACTTTAATCTTCCTAAAACGGATTAACAGCAGATCCCATTGTAGAGTTGGTTATGTTCAGTCAAGTCACCTCAAGGGTGATGACTAGCTCTCAACTGCCAAATCACTGAGGATCCTGACCCCATCAAGTGGACAAAAATAAATAAATAAATCACTACCATTACAGTTGTCATAATTGGCTCAAGGCTGTGATGATCTGTTTAAAGCGTTTGCTTGGTGTCAACTATATCCTGGCTGTGGGAGATAGCACATGGACAAGACAAATCGGCTCCCTTCTTTTGTGTTTATCACTTTTGATTTCCACTTCTATTCCTGAGACAATCAAATACATTCCTATTCAGACGGGGGTTATTTTGTGATTTTTTTCTTTCTTTCATGGTAATCATAAGTTCAAAGGATTAGGAACTAAGATTTAAGTCTCAGCATCTGCTATGAAATCTTAGGTGGTCAACAGGAGATGGACCGACACAGCGGCTGCAACAGTAGGCTCACACATGACAATGCTTGTGAAGATGGCACAAGACCAGGCAGTGCTTTTTCTGTCGGCACGGGCTCATGATGAGTGAGAATGGGCTCAATGCCATCAAACACTAGCAAGTTTCACTCTCAACCCTTATGTACCGTTACTAGTATGCCTGTTTCCTTATCTTGAAAAGCAGCATTAAAAATAACAACTATCTCATTTGGTTTTTGCCAATAAATGTGGCAAATGATCAATAAATATCAGTGATAAATTGTAACAATCACTATTATTCTGAAAAAACAGATACAGGGTTAATTGACAGCCTATGCATGCTTTCAAATGAATGTGAAAGACTGAAATATGAGATTTCATAAATCAAATTCAAAACAAAGTGGATAACTGAGAAAAATATAAGTATTTTCAAGGGCAATTTTCAATTTGGAGCATTTCCCATTTTAAGATCTGCATGACCTTCCGAAAAATCAATGAGGAAAAAGTTAACCGGAAACTCCAGTGAAATGAAGATTTAAAGTGAGTACCCCTACTCACGTGAACAGGTGTGAGATATCCAGTTGATCCTTAGGGCAAGAATTCAGCTGGGAACCAGGTTTATATGGTGTGGGTATAGAGGCAGGTGTTCTATTAGATAACTTTCATAGTCCCTTTGATTTCTTCATCTAGATGTGAAAAGTTATACTGATATTATTTATATATGTTAGATCTATCCTTGTGTAACTCTTAAATAGCTGCATATATATATTAGCATGCATTCAGTGATTTTAAAGATGCATATAAAATATTGCAGAGTTGAGTTTGGCCTTGATTTTTCCCCCATGAAACTTTCGGTAGCTGAGGACCGAATTCATGAAAAGAGATGGTGGAGACTTTGTAGTACTTGAGACTCTAAAGTTGAGAAAGCAGGTAAATAGGCATAGCAGTAGTCAGTAGATACTCATTTAATGTTCATGATGGAGTCCAAGGTCAAGGTTTCTTTCTAATTGGCTTGAACCAAAAGGGCACATAATAAGTGGCATCTGTCCTGGATCCTCAAGGTCGTTTTGCTCATTGTTGCTCAACGCCCGCCCTTCATGAACATTCTCCTAGCTGAATGTTGGAAGTCCTCAGCGGCTTCGGTTCTCCTCATCCCAGACCGCAGAGTTTACTTTACCAAGATGACAGCACCAGTACCACCTGGAGCAGCCCGCGCACAGCGTCTCCGGGCAGGCGGCTTGCTGAACGCCTCTGTATTTATTTTCGCATCAAGCAAGGCGCAGGGTCACGTCTAAGCGGCACCACCGAGGGCGGGGTCTGAAGCCGCGGAGTCTGGTCGTTGGTCAAGATGGTGGCCGCCAGCCCAGCGGGCGTCACGCTCCTTTACCATCATGGCGGCGGGGAGCTTCCGGCGCGCGCTTCTCCAATCCTCGGCAAGATGTCAGAGGCCGGGCAGCGGCCGCCGGAGTCCGACCCGCCGAGCGGGAGAGCGCGCGGCTGTTTCCGCGCGCCGGGTGGGGACCGGCCAGAGCCTGCGGCCGCCTCCGCCTCGGCCGGGAGCAGGCAAGTGCCGTCACCTGAGGGGGCGCAGAAGTCCCCGTCCCCCTCCAAAGCCTGAGGCGACTGCCCCCGACCCCAAGTCGCAGACATGGTCCAGGTGCCGCACGCACAAGGTAGGAGGCTCCTTCCGGCAGCGAGCCCGCCGTCGGGCCGCGGGGAGCCCGGGGAGGGGACTGGGACGGAGACCTCCCGCGGGGACACCCTCACCCCGGGGCGAGCCACGTGCGTGCCTCCGAGCGCGGAGGAGGCACGTAGCGGGAACAGCTGCGGGGAGTTGAACGCTGACATTTTAAAGCGGCGCGTGTTGTGTGTTGTTCGGAGGGGCCGGGGGTCCTAGGGACGCGAAGGGGTGGGTGACGCGCTGAGCCGAGTGCAGCAGATGTCAGGATTCGGGGGAGGAGACACCGTGGGGAACTTGGACGGGGTCCCCAGATGGGGTGGGAGGAGAGGTCAAGGAGCTGGGGTGGGGGGGTGCTTAGCAAGCAACTTAATGTTTTGCCTGCAACTTGCTTTCAGGCTTCGCCACCCCCTGCTTCCCTTAAAGATGATAAAGTGCAAAGAAATGCAGCTCGCCAGAGGTTTTGCATTTGGCGTGCAACTTCCTTTAAGAGTGAGAGCGCTCGCAGGGAGAAGGAGGGAGAGGTGGGGGTTGAACTTGGCAGGCGGCGCCTCCTTCTGCCGCCGCCGCCTCAGCCTCGCAGACTCGGGGAAGAGGGAGGGTGGGGGACGGCCGGGGCGCGGCGGAGGGTGGGCTCTGCTTCGCAACTTCTCTCCCCCTGCAAGAGCGCGGCGGCGCCCAGACGATGCTGGGGTGGGGGACCGGCGGGCACGCGACCCCCTCGGCGCCC